AAAACGCAAGCTCGAAACACTCGGAATGCGAGATCATTAAAAAACTGCAACGCAACTTCAAGTTGCAAACGCGTCTCATAGCCTGGTTAATCCTGGTTGGACAGTCGTTTGTTTGTTTTGGGATCTGGCGACGGCGTGTCGCTGTCGCTGGCAATCGCAGGAGTCCGCCTCCGAGGTATAGAAGATACAGGAGAGCGAGGAAGCGGCGCCTGGTTCAAGCGTTGTGGAAAAGCCGTCTTTGAGTGAAAAGCCAATAAGCCAATGTGTCAAAAGCAATCAGGGCACTCGTGGTACGAAATGCGATTCACGGATTTGAGCCTCTGATAGCTAGCAAGCGGCAGGTGAAAACGGTACAAGATAAATGGACAAAAAACCTGGGCAACATGGTGGGTAAAGGCGGTAAAAGGTGCAACGACAATAGGACGCGCAGGGCGTTCATGTGAAAAGCAAAGGACAGAAATTATCGTGGCCTTGCGAAAGTCACTCATGCGTGACGTGCGTTTGTCGAGGTCTTGTTGAGCCTGTCTGGAGGCATGCAGGGGGTGAGGTAGTCGCTTTCGGAACGCAGAAAACGATCGCTTCGGAAGGAAGGAATGCGATCGCTTCGCGCGCGTCATCGCTAGTAAGGTTGGAGGCCATCGCTACTACTATGGAGGCCATCGCTAGTAGGTTGGAGGCCACAGTAACCACTAGCAAGATGTTCTTCAACCTTTAACCTTTTCCTTAGTATAGACAAAAGACAGGTGCGATATATGAATTCGTCTTTTTACCCTGGCCCCCCCCCCCACCCCACCCCATCCTTCATCTTTAAGCCCTCCCCATCTGTGTCTGCGCGTGTGTGTTCTAAAATGACCCAAAAAACTTGGTGTGTTGAGTTGTCTTCCAAAGTGATCTCTCAGAAAATGGCTTTTGTCAACCCTTCCATGTGTTTGGCTTGTTTTGTGTTCCAAAGCGACGCATCTTTTGTGTTCCAAAGTGAACTAAAACCCTGTGTTCCAAAGTGAACTAAAACTTGCGTTCCAAAGTGACTCTCCGATCCATGCAGAGCCGGCGCTGCCAGCTGACTGGCTCGGCGTGTCTGTGGTGGCCGCGGCGCACATGAAAAAGTTGCGTAGTTTGTATAGGAGTTGGCGACGTCGTCCCAAAGTGCTGCGGGTCCAAAGTTGAATGTCTTCGAGGTCACCTGCTCGAATGTCAGCGGCTACCAAGAGCCTGGATACGTATTTGAGAAATGAGTGTTGGGCGAATGTGGTCGTGTTGGTATGTAGTGGAGAATTTACTGTTCATGGTGAAGGTATGAAGCATGAGCGACGCTGGCGGCATCTTGATGTGGTTCGGGCGGTCTGAGCATGGGTGGGGGGGCTCAACACCCCAACGCGATGGTGGTGTGGACACTGCTGTGGTAGGGGCGGTGGAAGCCCTAGCAGTGGAACCGGGAGTGGCCTTTGCGACTTGGTTGGCGGGCTAGTGAGCGGGAACGTTGGCGTTGGGTCTGTATGGAAAGGCATTGTGTGGATTGGGCCAGACCCCTTGCAGGCAGGTGGCGGCGCCAAACGACAACCCAGGATGGCCCACAACTGAGGGCGCCGGCAGCTAGCACCTCAAGTCTTCCTTCAGCCAGAATCCAGTGAGGAGACACGATGGTTGAGTCCCTCTTCGCCTTTTAACACGTTGATCTTATGACTGTTAGCCCGTTGATCGGTGTTGCTGAGGCTCTTCGCTACACGCGCTCGTGTTCTTGTAACTACGCGGCCACACAGGACCTGACGTTTGGCCCATGTTCACTGAGACCATTCCATTGCGAGTTTACGTCGGAGCTTTTTTCAGATCTCGCGCGTTCACACCTCTTTCAGTTTGACTTGTCGTCTTACTTACTTCAGCGATGGACGCTTTTTTGCCAGGTTCTAAGTTTTCCAGACAGGCAGCGCCCTGTTTGCACGGCCAAGCCGTTGGTGGCACGTAGCGGAAACGCTGATGGTTGTTAACCAGAGTGCTGCCCCAGCGCAGTTCTGTTTGCGTCCAAGTACTGGGAACTGGTGGCGATGGGCGGAATGGAACGGTGGCGACAGAAGCCACCCATGGATTTGCGCTGGGATCGGCGTACGTTGATGTGCGAGTGGTGCTGCGGGACGGTGTTGTATGGATGGGCACGGGTTGCTGGTCTTGATTGCGCAGGGCCCCTTATACTTGAGCAACCTGCGCTTGATGTCAGTATAGTTTGCTCCCTTCCTGTGAGCCGCCCCGCCCCTCATCCTTTGTTGACCGAGCGGACGCTGCAGGTCTTTTGCATTTGACTTCGCATTTTTGCTTACCGCTCCAAGCTTTCTATCCCCCAATTCCGTTTATCACAGGGTCCACTTCAACCAACACATTTCCCACCACACTTACCAATCAGGCCACTTTTACGTGGGCTCCACATCTATCTATCGGTATTCCACAACACAACGCTCCCATGTCAGCGCAGATCCAGCGTGGGAATCGGATCCCAACTGTCCCCAGCGCTCTGCAACGTTGCCATGAATCACCTTCATTGAGCAACGCTGGCGCCGGATCCACTCTTCCCTTCTTGACCGCGCACACTTCACTTTGCCTACTACTGCTACGTCGACAACGGCTTCATCACCTTCAACGAGCTCTTCCTGCAACATGCAGTCATACAAGCCCCGACCCACCCTGACTTTTTCGGCGAGCTGGAGGCGGTAGAAGACTTCATCTTCGCGGCTTCAACATCAACATTGCGTAACATTGCTCAACGCACCATCGCTGCATACGACCAACTGCTCACTGAAAAATCAGATATCACGCGTCAGTGGGATCTTCCAGACTGCGGCTTTCTGGCTTGACGTCCCGGATTCACGCAATCCGGAGATCTGGCTATCCCGCTGCAGTGGCCAGTGAAGCAACTGAAGCTTTAACTGCTATCTCTTGTTTCATCAAAAAATCGCAGGCGTGACGACCATGTCCTTTAGGACATTACCGTCACGCCTTAAAAGATCGTTTTGCTGACCGCGTGCCGAAAGGCCAACGTGTGTGTGTGTGTGTATGTGTCACTCCCTGTATCTGAGGGATGCACAGCACCTACCTTTCTCGAATTCTTAAATCAGCAGGGGAACAGGAGCCGATATGCTTCTCCAGTCCAACGAAGCTGTGGCATGTCGGTGGATGAGTGGTCTAATCAACCACTACTGCTCGTGTCCTGCTTCACCTATGTTGAAACAATTCTGTTCATCCGACTTTTTGCAGCACCGCTTTTTCAGCCAAGGTCTAACCTGTAGCAAAGTAAAATGCAGTAACTTCACTGAACTTTCACTGAGTCTTGTTCTTGCGAACTATCTATCTATCTAAGTGCGCAACCCTTGGAATCATAGGGAGATATAGGGTTGCTTTTGGTTTTTAAATTTGCCGGGTTGGGGTGTGCTTCAGATCTTTTCAGCCAGCGCACACGCATGTGCTACACAGTGATATAACTGCGGGACGCTGGGGTTACGTACCTGCTGTTTGGCTGTGAGCGCTTCTGTCCAATGGTAGAGGAAGAAGGCCGTTTAGGTTCTACTAGGTTGGCAGTCACGCATCTTGAACTTGACTTGGATGGCCGGACTCCTTCGCACTTGGTTTGCCTGAGACGTTTGCACCTAGGATCACCTAAGCCTCCGTGTGGCATGTGACATTCAGACCGCACGTGCTTTTTCAATCTGTTTCATATTTTTTCCTGAGTTTGTGTTTGCGTGATTGTGTGTGTGTGCGCGACGGACTTACCTGCCTCCACGTCATTGCTGTGCAGCATTTGCGCCGACTGTAAAGTGTTCAGCTGCATGGTCATCCAACATTTTTCCTTATTTGATCCCACAAGTTTGCTTGGGCTGGTATCGCAGTTCCAGGCACTCGTGGAGCTTATGGGCTGAACGTCTTGAGACACTTGCAAGGCCAAAACGGCAGCAAGATGCAGGAGATTCGCAAGGCACCATTGCCTTGCATATGTCAGAAAACCATTTCCTATGTGGAACTGATTTGATCATTGATTATTGCCCAGTTGGTTTACAGCCTCCTCGTGCTAGCTAGGCAGCAGCAGCTGGGTCGTTGCAGCTGGAGATCCTTGACGATACGTGAATTTCTTGGACAGATCTCAAAGTTCTGATGGTTCCGTAAAGTAGCAGGGCATGGGGGAGGGTGACCATCGCCCCTCGCGCTGAAATATCAGGGAAGTAGGGACACAAATCATGTCATAAAGACGAGTTTATACCTATCACACTAATGAGATTGGCCAGAAACCAATTTAATTTGTTCCTTACTACTGGCAGTGTCTACAAATTACACCAGTCCCTGTAGTCCCCAAATGATATATCAATATATGGTGTGTGTATATATATACATATACATATAATATGTATTTATACAATTTACTGGATTTGTTGTTACTCTTTGAGACCGTGGGCGCATTGACAATCTTAAAACGGTTCTTAAAGGTTTTTTTTGCGGAATGTGTTCGCTTGTTCTGATTATATACATATTCCAGCAGATATACAACTATATTGCCGGTGTTTTGTTGAGACCATTGCTTGCAAAAGCCAAATGCCCTAGAAAATACTCAATTGAATCAAATCGTTTGATTGGAACAGGATATCCCACATACCTGTGAAAATACGTTTATCACATACTTCATCATAAACATTTGCTGAAACAAGTTCTACAGTGTCTTGAAATGTAAATATCCAGGACAGAAATCCAAGAAAAACACAAAGACACGCCAAAAACTGCATATGGATGCGCCACAAATGGTGTGCGGACAGTGCCAAACACCAAAAAATGCGTAGAGAGACCAAAAAGCTGCATGATTGAATGTCCTATTGACATTATTCTAATAAATTGTGGCGCATAGGAAATTGCCCGATTGACACTCATAACATTCCCAAGCGAGCCACAACCGACTCAGATTTAGATAAATTATGGACTTCCCTAGAATACATCAATGGCTTATAAAATTAGATCATAATTTGATTGCTTGAGGACTTGCATCCATACTTATGAGATTAGTCGCATCATTTGATAAAACTAAGGCCGGGAAGTCACAATGCCCAAACTGTTCCCTCAACCTGTGAAAGATCAATGAATGAATAGTTCAGGTAGCTTCAACATGTTTTGTGTGTTCTTGGCAACAAAGCTGCCTTTTGAGCATGAAACCATTGCACCAGCTGTCCTGTTCCTTTTGTCCTGTTCGGTTCTTCTCCTTCCTGTTGAAAGATTGTGCACTTTGACGTAGGCGTTGGAGGATGGGTGTGATGTCAGGTCAAACAATGGCCATGTCCTCTTTGTAGCAAGCTGCGGAGAGGCTGCTCAGGAGAGGGCGTTATATACATTGGCTGCACAATTGGCCCATTGGGCTAGGTCTACGTAGAGAAAACGAAGACTGAGAAACCCCTCCACTTCAACATGGTTGGCCCAGTGCAATCAACAATGCATGTAAAATAGAGCGAAAAGATAGGCGGCGTAAATGTGAGCAGTCAGTTCTGCCTACCCTGCTGTGCCTGATATGAGGGCTGATGAAATAGTTAACGGGCTGATGCCCAACTGCGGGCCAGAAGGCCAACGAAGGAAAGGAGACGGCGGGGAGATGCACAGTGCGAGGCGTTGCTGGGGAGATGCACAGTGCGAGGCGTTGCTGGGGGCGGTTGGTGTCAACGTGGTTATTGCTGTTGCTGTTGTGGTGATGGTGGTGGTGGTGGTTGGTCTTGTTGTGGTTGTGGTTGTGGTTGTGATTGTTGTTGTTGTTGTTGTTGTTGCAGGAAGACGGGGAAAGGGAAACAAAACAGCGAAGTGCAAATATTGCAAGGCATCTTGGGCGGCGTAACTTGCACCAACGTCCCCTTGGAACCGGCGCGTGTACCTCCAAGAAACTAAAAACGATGTTGATGTGGCGCAGCGCACGGTGGGTCTGCCACATTTGCCAAACCACTTTTGAAGAACAGTATTCTGATACCTTGCAGGCAAAAAGAAAAGCCAGCCGTGGCAGAACCTTGAAGAATGCTCAATGCCAAATATGTCTTTACCCATTAAGTGTCGTTTGCTTGTTTTTTTCGGTCTGTTTTCTTCGGACCTTTTTGGCAAAATAGTACAGCGGGGAGCGCAAAAACTGGCAAGGTGTCGATGGTCGCAAGATGTCGCAAGTCAGTAGCTAGCAGTCGAAGCGGATAAGGCTGTTCTTTCCAAATGGTCGCCCGGTTCTTGCTCCAACTGTGCTTCGGCAGGCCGAAGAATGTTGGAGGCTCCTTTCCGCAGCTCTAGCTTTGACCTCAGACTACAACGCACTGTTCGGTCCCCCATTTTTTTGCTTTCCGGGCTTGGAATAAACCGTTGGGACTTCTCGTGGGGGCCGCAATGTTAAAACCCTTTCTGAAAGGCACTTATGTCACCTCATACCGTAGAATACAGTTCCGTTTACTTGTTACACTGCGAATCTTAAAGCGAGGGATAGCTGACCTTCCCACATTGGCCACGCGAAATGATTATTTTTCGACGGTGGCTGATCCAATATATAGATGTTATAAGACCGGGCAAGAAGAAAACACGTTTGTCTTCTTGGGGTATTGGCTGGGCGTTCCGCCGAAGCACAAAGTCGGTGGTGTATGGCGTATGGTTTCCTGTGTGATAGAATATGACAATATTATCGTAAATAGGTGGGAACAACATGTCATTGCTTGTGAGGATGATTCTATGCCACACTGAGGCTTGTGTGCACGAGACACATGCTGCAGAGGTTTGTTACTGATTGAGATCACAGAGGTATGTCCCTTGCTGTGATCTTTGTTGGCTTTGTTTGAAGATTGCAGTGCTACTGCAGTTTGCTGTTGCCTTTGCAGGTTCGAGGTAGTCTGGTTTTACGCGGTTTTCCAGCCTCGTGGTCAGAGAAGGGATTAAAGTGCGCCTCGTTTGTTGTCACCGAGTTCCTTGTGGAAGAAGGGTGTTGCAAAAGCTTTTGAGATTTACTACTTTGCTCAGCAGTTGTTTTCATTTGTGAAAGTCATTCACGCCACTTCGCAACGAAGACCTTACCCCGTTTCCTTCTACTTTGGGTTCGAACAATTGAATTTGTCCACTATGCTGGATAGTTGTCATCCCCTTTGCTGAAGCAAACTTTCCAAGCCTTCTAAGTGACTTTGTTTCCCAAAGATCACACCAGAGGAGATGTTTGACCGCGTTGATACACACTTATAGCTGACACGTGACGTGGAACCATTCGGTCTTGAAAAATCCGCCAGGGAGTACAAGCGACCTGCCTGTGGTTCTTTTGTCCTTCCACTTCCAGAATGCTTTTCACATGTTGATGAAAGTAAGGTCTGTGCGAAAGGAATGCTCTCAATGCACACTGTTTCTATTTTTGTTCACACCCTCTTCATCAAGGCTCTTTTGCGCGATCCAAATTGACTTGGCTGCAGCCATCCAACCGATCTACACAAAAGGGGTGCTTTTGCTTTTGACGCTCGTGGCTGGGTACTGGGTGATGCATGCCAAGGGCAAGCTTTTGCTTGCAAACGCCCTGCGTTCTCCGTCACGTTACTGCACTGCATCTTGACTAAATGTATACATGTGTGACAGGAACGGCGTCCTTGTCATGGATGCAGTAGTCGACGCAAGAAAAGTTTGTCGTGTGTGCGCGCCCGCGCAAATATCCAATTACCCGGGGTACAGAGCGTCGCTCACAACAATCTATCACCAGTCCAGCTGTTTGGGCTCCAAAGGCCCCAAATCTATGGCTCGAAATCGCACCCGGGATCCCAATGACCTAGGGGCTGTTCCTCTGGAGCTTAAGGGGGGTTACCCTTATCCCTGCTCCGCTACCATGCGAACCTTTTCTTGATCCAAAAGTGGCTTCAACACAGTCTCATGCTGTTCAAGTGAAGTGTTCATAATGCAATATACAGTGGCTACGGTTCCTGCTTAAAATATGTCACAATACATATATATATATATGCACATATATCATCATATATCATAGACGGGAATTCCGTGCTGGTCCCTGCACATTGGCACTGCCACCTTCTAAGCCAGGTTCCCACTTACTATTGCGAAGGAAGAAATCCTGCACCACTTCTGCGAAGATTATCCCCACCTCGCTCCCCTTAATAAGTTCCCATTGGCAGAATGCTGCACCACCTGCCTGCATGACACACCAGGGGTGCGAGCACCATGAACCGAAGCGGCGCAGAATGTATTCAACCGTACCTCCACAGTTCAGCATTATCAACTCCAGCGGCTGCAAGTTTCAGGAGTGATAGATGACGCGTTCAATCGTGCTTTTGTTTGATTCATGGCCTTCCTCGGCTGGCAGAAGCATCATCTCTCCAAGTTTGGGCCTTTCATCATGTTAAGTTAAGTTGCTTTTGACCGCAGACAACTTGTGCACTGTTTTGCGCGGCTCCCATTGCTAAACCAAAGGAATGTAGATGATATCCGCTTGATAAAACTGCTGTGCAGCCATACTCTGTATTTGGAAGCAAAGCAACAACAGGGCAGTCCAAAATAAACATAGAAGAGCAGGTTGCATAAGAAATGGTTCGTCCACATCAAGCACCACAATGTACCAAACTACATTGTAAGCGGCTGATAGAACGCCGCTTCGTTTTATCATCATCACAGGTTGTTTTCGTGTTGGTTTTTACAATTTTATATAATGTTTTTTTTCATGTGAAAATGGATGACCCAGAACGTCCGGACAAACTACTTCATTTTGTCACCTTTGCTTCCACAAGTGCGTCAAGTATTCGTATACGTTAACATGCCCCACCCCACCCCACCCCCATCCCCAACGTAGCATCAACTTCATGACGTAAGTGCCAGCGAACGTTAACATGCCCCACCCCACCCCCGGCTTTCTATCAGCCGCCAGCCAACTACATGTAGACTTTGACGGCTTGTGTGGCAGGTGCACTCCGCTTCAAGGCCAAGCCCTGCCTTGCCCACAAACACAACATATTGAATTGACGGACTCCCAGATCATGTTCGTTCACGTGAACTGGTTGAAACATCACGATGTGTCCATACTGGATGCTCCATCGAGTAACTTCCCGATGTACAGGAAATGCTCCAGGGGGTATTGTTTCCTCACCAAGTCATGAAGCACTTTAAGGAGGCACGATGAGGAGCAGTCCTCAATCACATCAAGCAAGTACGTAGTAATTAGTAATGGCCATGGTCACAACATGCCAACCAAGATCATTTTTGGACTATTCAATAAGCGCCGCCTTAGCAGCATCTTGACAAGGAGTCTTGACAGACAGAATCTTGTCATACTTGTGGACGAGCCAATGTTCAGGCAAATACAGCAGGGAAATGTCATGACGTCCATGGCGCAAGCCCGGAGTCACGACCCAGAGTCGGCAACAACCCCCATAAAGAGGAGGTGCACTGAAGGGTTTTGGGCTCCACGGCCGTTTGTTCTGATTGACCAAAAATGTTTGCCCCTGTCATCTCCATTGTTTGTTGAGCATATTGCGCTGTTTGCATTCAGTGGTCTTCATGTTATATAATTCCCAATTACGGACAAATGCCTTCATCCAGCCAAGCAGCAGGGAAACAGGAAAGAGTCGGAAAGAGGAATGCAAAGGCAATGTTTCATTGGGATCACCTCCTTAAGATGTTGCGTTCAACAATGTTCAACACCAATGTAGGCAAAGACCCTGGCACCCTCAGAGCATTCACACCCCCGCTGAGTTACCATGCTTGCAGTCGACTAGTGTTTCCTCCCTGGTCACAAGTAGTTGAGTGCTTTCCCAATTATAGATTTGCAAACATTGCAAAACACCTCACGGGGTGGGAGATTTTGAAACAATGTGCATTTCTTAAAGGTTTAAATTAAAGCATTCAAAAACTGATTGAGTCTGAGAGCTGAAGAGGCATCATTTGGAAAAGCCAAACACATGTGAAACTGTATTAAATTCTTCTCCGAACTGTGTTTTTTGAAGGTTTGTTTTTGCTCCTTTTGGTGGCTTGACCTCGGTCACAATTGAGGAGGAGGCCTGGCATGGCTTGTGGGTATCATTCAAGTTTTGTGATGTTAGTTCTTTGTCTTTGTTTCGTGCTCATTGCATTTGAGTTTCAGCCTTCGCTTGAGGAGGAGAATGCTCAGCCAATTTGTGTGTCTGGGGAGGCCCATTCCAGCTGGAATTGAATCACTGCTTGCAATCAAATTGCCCTCTCTCCCTTTTGGATGTCACATGATATATTGTCAGGTTGCTCCTTCTGGCCGCCTAGCGTATGTGAAGTTGCGAAACAGCCAAGCCATGGACAAGGCGGTGCAGTCTTGCACACAATCTTTCGTTTGAGATGTTTCAGAATAGCAAGCATGGATGGTTGTTGTGTTCTTTCATCAAAGGCTGTGGCGAATTTGCATCAGACCAAAGTGGGTGATGGCGACCTTGTGGAGGACGTTGGCAATGCTTGTTCCCCATGGACTCCTGGTCTTGCTTGTTCTCTAGGAATGCATTGTGGCTTGTCACCGATGGCACAGCAAGTCTTGGATCGCTCTTATCTCAGTATCTCAGTCTTGAACATTTTGCTTAAAGATTCGCAAAGGCTGTCAGCCCGCACTCAGGATGGAAGCTTCCAAGTGAGCATTTTCATTGATCAGCTGGCGCTGAGCAGAAGACCACTTGAGGTGGATTCAACGAAAACACGCTTGTTTGTGTTTGACCTGACTCTCGCATTCTCGAAGGACTGTATCACTGATAATTGTTTGATCTCGGGCAATCTCAAGTTTGTTTCTGACAGCAGTTCACACTGTGCGTTCAATCTACGGTTCATTTTTTTGCGTTGCAAGAGTTGCCTGACAACTTTGATAAGACAGAAACTCTGCAATTAGAAGGCTCCTTGCAGTGCTTTGAGGCTGGCCCAGGACCAGAGGACCGAGAACTATATGCCGCAAACCCACATAGCTCTGTATGATGCTTTTTTGTTCACTGTGCCATCCCCTCTCGAAAGGAAGCTTTGCCCGTGCACGAGAGCACCAAACTCGCAAAAATGCCTCCCAAAGCCAAAGATTTCTGAGAGATACTTTAGAAGTGGAACAGGTAGACCGTTTGTCAAACTCAGTTGGACAACGACGAGTGTGGAAAGCGAACCAGCTTGAGTTTGTGGGCTGCAGTCATTTCTTCGCAGACACACCAGGCTCAGACCTGGCTTTCTCCATCATGAAAAACTTTAAAGGAGCAGGTAGCACAATCGGCCCGGCCCCCTGCTGCATACCACAAGCTTGCTCCGCACAGAAGAGGCTCGATGCAAACAAGGAAAGACGAGGACATAACCCCTGAGCAATCTTCGGACTCAGCCCCCTTTCTTCGCCTCTCATGGCCGAATTGCCTGCCACAAGTCTATAAGGCAGAGCCAATAATAACCTAGCATGCACGCAGCTCCCGTCAGTGCCACGAAATCATGCAATGGCTGCTTCTGGAACAGTCCAACCCAGAAAATCTCAAAGCGTTGCACTCTCCATGATGCGCCGTGCAAGCAGGCTCTAGCATAGGCTAGGTTTAATAAGAGCGCGCGGCTGATGAAGCCAACCCGCGCGCAGGCATTCACTCTGCAGAACCATGATCAGTGCCAGCGTGCCTTCATTGCAACACAATGTTCCTGTGGCTTCAGAGGCTCTGCAGGAGCACGGCATAGAAAGCCTCAAACCGCTCACGAGACAATGTAGCGATTTGAGAGGACAGTGCACTTTCATAGCGCGGTTTCATAGAGCATAGGGTGAACTCATGGCGCAGTTTCATTGGGTGTGATGGGTCTTGAAGATGTGACAAAGCTGCTGCGCGGCACAGCCGCGCCGTTGAGTCCAACCAAGGTTCGAAACTTGCCTTTGTCTATGGGCTCGGACAGTATTTTGTTCCAACGCATGCAAGCTCTTCGCAGCCCAGGCATGACATGTCGCGGCAACAGCTCCAGGAGTACTTTGAGGCGCGAGAAGATTTGAAAACTTGACAGAAAGCGCTTTAGCCTCTGTAGTTTTTGTCGGGTTGGTCTGTGGTAGCGAAGATGCGCCAGTAGGGCTACCTTCTCTGCAGGGTTTATTTTAGTCGCTGAAAGGGTTGTAGGGTGCGCCGCGAATCTTGAGTATAAGCAATGGAATTGTTAACAATGTTAACCATTGATTGGGTTTTCTGCGTCAGCGGCCCTTCTATGCCCCAACCCGCAGATTTTGGCAATGCAAGACATGTTGGATGGCAGTGACAGATGGCTGACTGCGCTGACCGCAGCCTTAAGCATGAATTGATCAACGCTCCAGGGCTTTGGAGAAGTCGATGACCTGCATCTCAATGCCGACGCCTTCTCGATGGAGCAAGTCAACGAGGGGTGCCTGCAACCCAGAACACTTTAGTGCGCGACAAGCAGGGGGGCCGAATTGTTTCAACGGGCGCAAATGCAAACATGTTTTCAGAAGAAAACACGTACCAAAAGGAAGCGCTGTCAAATTATGTTTGCCACGCCGCCGCGCCCAACGTTTTCCCAGCCGGCCAATCTAAGCGTATAGCTTTTGACGCCAGAAGTTGCTGTAGATCGAAATTGATGCGTAGACCCGGCAGTGTTTCCATGGTTTGAACACTGAAAAACATTGAAAAACAACTCGACCGGCAGAAACTCCTACGAGGTTGAAGGTATCCACCTTTGTTGCCGTTGTTTTTAAATGTGGAACGCCAGAGTTAAGGGTTTGCGCTTGTTGCGCAATAGTATGTATAGGCCATAGGCAATGTAGACACAAGTACTCTTTTGGGCGCACTACCTACCATCGTCCATGATCTGTTTTTCGGCCCAAAAGAATCATGTTGTTTGCAGTTTGTTCCTTCTCCGTGGCCAGGTACATACGCTTCAAAGATCATCGAGACGCGGTGCGTTGCATTGAAGCTCTGACCCCGACAGATCCAGACGAGGTGTGGGCGCAGACGGATCAGTCAAGAAAGCCTGTAAGCCTACAGAAGCCGCTTATATACTAGTGCCGCGCTACTGCTAGGTTGGAGGCCATTGCTATAAGTGTTTTACTTTCGTCAGAGTTTCACTACTTGAAAACCTGTTGGACCCCAACCCGACTGAGAATCACATGTGAAAGGAACCTGCTGAGAACGGACGTGTGAAAGGAACCGGCGAGCGCGACACGGAACAAGTTCTTTTGAAAATATGCCCACTTGTTCGCATCCTAACAAGGGCATTACTAATCAGCTAGAAGCTACTAGAAACAAAGGGAATCGCTACTAGGGGGCTCCTGGCCTTACTAGTAGCAAGAAGCTAGTAATGGATGTGACGCGACAGACACCTCATTTTGCCGTCCCGCTCACCGACAAGTCGCGTTGGCCACCGTTTTGCGGCGCAAAGTCTCCACTGGGTGATGCGGTGCCAGTCGGCTAAGCGCAATAATTGCGCACATGACGCAGTTGGCTAAACTTACAACGGGGAGAGGAAGAAGAAAGGGAAGCAGTGCGTCACGCTGATTGGCCACTTCGTTCTCTGGGCTTGCTATCCACTGCATTCTGCATGGCTTCTTCAAAGCAGTCCTTGGCAAGCGCGCGCACACCTTCCTAGGTTTTCGTCTGTGAAGAGTCCGTACCAAGAAACCCTCACGACACTGCGCCTGTTTTCATACGCAAGCGCGCCTGACATGAATGGTGCCATTTCATTGACAGAATCGCGCAAAAGAGGCAGGGGCGTTGCCAACCCTGGCCAAAGGCGCGCACTCACCCTTTTTGAGCATCGTCACTGCGTCCATGGTATCAACCACAAGGGCCTCAATGTCCACCGTCTCGCCATGCTGTCACGTTTCCTAGCCGAAGTTACATACGAGTCCGAATCTTCAGGCCCCTCGTCCAAACTGCTGAACTGGAAGCTCGTACTTGCGGCGTTGGTTCATAGCCTGTTCCTAGTCCCTGCCCATAGAACCTTTCCTATTCCCACTCTTCATCCGTCATGTGTTTCTTAACTTGTATCGCCCGCTCTTCAGTTGAAACGCTTTCCTCTTCATTGCCTGCTGCGAACATGCGTGGGTAACCTTCTATTTCCTTCATGATTTGATGCGCCTTCTATCCTTCTATTCTAGTTGCCATTCTTGAACGAGCAACGGCTTGCTTGTATGTATCGCAATGGAGACTTGTGAGCTGGGCGAGGCCAATCGGCCACTTAGAGACAAATTACTTTGGCTACAAGTAGCCACCCTTCCATTGTACTTTCCTGTCTAATTCTTCAGTTCATCTCCATCTTCAAGCAAGAGTGTGCTCGCCTTGAACGAAATTTGCCCAGTTCGCCACACCCTGAATGGATTGAAGACTATTTCCCCGCAAAGTGCCTTGGATCGACTCAAAGGCTTTCGCAGACATGTGTGCAGCCCGCTGTTTTGACGGTGGTATGATTAAGCATGTGTGTATACGGTAAATTATTTATTTTTGCTTCATGTATATGCATTCCACTGCGTTGCCAAGTACTTCCCAAGGGGATCTTAGGAGTTAGCCTGCGCTTGGTCTCGCGCGCTGTTAAAGGACAGAAGTGTTAAGGGGCAGGCTGGCTGTTTGGAAAAGTGATGGTTGCGAGAGATGCGCAGGACCAGGGGGAACTGTGCACCAGCGAGTTCCAGCGGCAAACGTTCCGGATACAGTGGTTGTGCCCCTGATAGTAGCGGAGGGGATCAGGGAATCATCTACACACACTCTCGGAAATGGACTATTAAGTCCCTGCCGTAGCAGACGAGGTCGGATGAATTGTCCACACACTGCAAGGGATGCGCAATATGATACGTGAAGTAGCTATTGCCCGTAATTATTGCAATTGCACAACAACCTTTTTCCTGTTCTGCACCCGGCTCAGAAATGACAACTTTGTAATACATCTGGAACTCGAAGTAGTTTCACGCTGCTCCGGCCTGAGAATTGGTAACTCGCGCTTTGGCAGCTCCGCGTTCAGACGGTGCAATTCCGTACATATATGCTGGCTTGTAGCAGTTTGGGTTTTTGAACTGGCGAGTCTGTACAATGCAGTGCGCCGGAAGTGCTCATTGACTCACTCACTCACCCACTCCCTCACAGTCACCCTCTCACTCCATCGCTCGATAGCTGCAAGTGACACATGTTGTTCTTTGTCATTGATCGCTCGACTCGCCTGGTTTCATCTTCTTCTTCTTCTTCTTCTTCTTCTTCTTCTTCTTCTTTTCTTTCTCAACGCTCACCGTGCGGCGATGGCGTGGACCCGTGGCCTTTAGCCGGTCCGCCAGCCCCGAAGGGTCTTCAACCAAAGTGAGATCCAAGCAGCAAAGATAGGGTAGTGGTGTGAGCTCGTTGCTTTTGGGAGGATCACAACACCAAATGCAGACAGGAAAATTGTCTGAGGCATGGACAGGTATGGCTGTCTCGCTCAGCTTCTCCCAGCCTCTGGTAGGGCTGGCAGGCGCACCATCGGGTGGCCGGAGCGGCCAAGCTGAATCTCTCACCACACGTCTCCTCCAAGGGCTCCGCTGCCAGCCACAGGTCCCTGTGGTGGGCAGCCAAATGGGCATTCATGTCTGCAGGCCAGGTTTGGCAGCAAAGGCATTTCTTGACCAGCCGGTGACAGAGTTCAGGAAAATCAACCAGGATCTGAGTGTCCATCAGGTCCAGTGCCTGTGACCAGCCATTGAGCCAAGCGTCCTTGGAGCTTGGATCATTCAGCACGTTCTGAATCTGTTCGTCCTGTGTCAGTGAAGGAGCCTCATCAGCAGGCAAACGAAACAACCTCAGCGCCACCATGGGGTGCGCAACTCAACCAAAGCATGCAAACGTTCTCAAGCACCACAGCTGGTAGTTCATGAAAGAGCCGGGGCTCATCAGAGTCGTTGTAGACCCACCAGCTGTCAGCATCCTTGATCGCGGAGACATAGTGGCCTGAAGATGAGTCCTGACCAAGATGATATGCCCCACATATGGCACGTTGTCCAGCTCAAGGCTGCAGCCAATGAAGTGTGGAATCCATACCATACCTTAGAATGCGAAGTGACTCGAGTGCGGCATTTCTGACCGAAAGAGTCGAAGCGGTCCAGCTGTACCCAGGTGAGGTCTGCCGGACCTCATCAATGCGTGGAGGCCAAAACTGCCCATGCTCTAGCTAGTCAGAAGAGCTTGCAAGTCAATGGGCCCGGGCATCTTTTTGCTTCCGCCAGTCGAGCTCACGTAAAGATGCAATGGGCAGCTGTGGTCGCTGTGATCGACGACTCGCACCTGACCATCCTGTTCCAGTTCCAGTCTTGATTCCCAGCAGCAGCTGAAAAACATGGGGTTCAACAGTTGAAGGATGTGATGAGTGAAGTCAACAACATCGCGCTGTCGAAAAGGATCAGGCCAGTCCATGAGTAAATTCGTCCATTGGCCATCGGCCCACAGCAACAACGAGTTCCCATCAAATGGTTCAGCAATCTTGCTGAAGCTGCGGAAAGTTGGACCATTGGTCCTCACTCAGGCCATTGAGCTGAGAAGCGCCCCAGACAAGCCCAGTGATCAGCTGAATGAAGATGGGTTCATCAGCGTCTTCAAAGGAGGTTTGTGATCAGCTGAGATCAGAGAGCCTCCAACATTTTTCCCAGGTGCTGGGCTAATGGAGTCCTTTGCATCGTAGCTGGACGCATCCAGAACGAGTTGCCAGAGCCCGGTGTTGGCTAGTTGGTGCCAGAGCCCCCGCAATTCCTTCGAGTAGGTGTGGGTCAGGGCCAACGTCACTCTCCATGGAAGGACAGCTGCTGGATTCTCTGAGTCCGCGCCGATGACCTTCTGGATTCGGTGATTGGGTCGAAGAGCATGGAACCTCTTGATCAAAGCCAGGAGAGTGAGCATCCTCTGCAAGGAATGCAGTGCCAAGGAAAGTGAGACTTGAGCATCTGGTAGGGCTTGCATCTCGTGCTTGTCGTGGTCCCATTTCATTCTGGGAAAGTGGTAGGAGCCTCACCAAGGTCTGGATCAATGGATCTGAGGAGTCGGTCGATTGCAGCTTGAGTGTCCTGTTGTGGAGCTCCTCCAACATGGTCTTCAAGATCAAGATCCGCAATGGCAGGGGGCGTTCCTCCTGCGGTGCTTGGCGCCAGTCCGTGGTCTTGGACATCAGAAGCTTGAGGATGGACCCTCACCCCGCGCTCAAAAGAACGTAGAATTCCGTCTCCATGGCCAGGCACTGCAGGCTGTATTCGCGACGTAGTACTAGTTTTGTCAGGACCTGCAGGAGCGTCTTTGAACCTGGTGTAGATTCTTCCTTGATGCTCTGGGCTCTGGGTCTACCCCAATCCTTTTCTTCCTTTTCCCTTTGCCCTGGCCCTTCACGCCATTCCACGTGGTGGACCGCTGCCGTTTGGCACTCTGCTTTTCCTCCTCGTCCACCTCCATCTTCATCTACAAGTCGCTGCTGTCCATGCCCATGGTGCAGAATGGCAAGAAGGGCAGCAACCTGCAAGATCACTGGACACTGAGCAGCAGCGGCATGTGATTCACACACTGAGCATGTTTGTTGCCTCAGTTGAAAAGAGGTGAGGTACTTGTAGTACAGACTGCCTCTGTTGCTATGTTTGGCATGGGTGTTCCAAAGATGCTGCAAGAGATCCCGGCAATCCACCAGCTCCAAGGTTGGGCTGACCAGTTTAAGCGCATGAGAGAGAACCGTCCCCTCGGAGAACTTGGTGGGGTCATAGTGCACAAAGAGCGCCAGCTGAGAGAAGGCCGTGCACGCGTGAGGTTGACAGAGCTGGAGGTCGGAGGCAAGTGCGTCCAACATTCCTGAGTGTGCACGACGTCTGGAGCCATTCAGCGTATGAGGCGATAGAGGTCCACTTCCTGCCATGGGAGGTGCTGAGATGTTTCAGCAAGGTGGTAGGTGGTCGATTGTTGACCACAGAGGGCACAGATGTGACCCAGTCTCCTTAGGACAGATTTGTATA